AAAATGAACCGCAAGGAGGAGTGTCTTGTCATCACGCGTGACCTAGCGCCATACCTCAGGCTGATCCAATGATCTGACATGGACCCAGTTATCGACCATGTATTACTCTGTGCGGCGGCTATCCACCAACTAACTTAAATACTTACGACAAATAAACGGTAGGTGTTTGAATGAAGCTGTTTCTTATGCGAACACAAATCGATTTATCAAGTTTTATCTGCTGGGGTTATGAAAGTGTTTGGCTGAGTAGATCGCATCTCAATTTGACCTTTCCAGGCTCTGAAGAAGGCGAAACCGCCGAAACGTCAGCAATTGTGTTCTAATAAATTCTATATTAACAACCTCGTGTCTGCTTATTGATGAAAAACATTGAATTGTGCGAGTAGGTTATATTTAAGAAAGCACCGTACAAGCCCACGGATCTCCCTCATATGAGGGATCTCGAGCCGGTTAGTCGATAAGATACGTGGCGCGTTCCCAAGTGGTGGATAGGGGCTAATAGCGGACCAAAAGCGACCTTTGCTTCCCTGAGACGCATGTCGATTCATTGGATGGACTTCCTCTTTCTGGTACGCCGACTTGGCACATACTTTCTGCATTTACTGGACGTATTCATGCATGCATATGTGGGGGCGTTCTTGCTTATGCTGAATGTTTTCTACGAGTCAATTCGGCCAAAAGTCTGCAATTAAGTGACAGGGAAATATATGGGAGTCCGTTAGGAGTCGCCTCCAACAAATAAGCTCCATGTCTACTCTGGGAGAGCCTGGCAAGCTACCCGTGAGTATACCCAACCCCCACGTTCAGAGTCCAGCAAGTTATACGTGGGTATCAAAATGTTAAACACAGTTAAAAAAAACGGGCCTCGTTCCCCTGACCCCGAAAGAGCCCCCAATTTCGCAGCATTGGGTAAGACGAGTACGGAGAGGCTGCTAAAATCTCACGACCAATGGAAGCTGCCTAGATTTGAAAGAACTATGGCGACGATCTGTACCTACAATGCACGCAAACTAGCATGCGAGTCTTCGATAGAAGAGTTGATCATGCGAGCAATAAAAGTAAGGTACGACGTCTTCGGCCTGGCTGAGACGAGACGACGCCATCCATTCAATATCGTCTATGACACCGGAAAAGAACTGTTCCTCGGAACATGCGACAGTAGACGAGTCAGCGGCGTCGGCATTCTCGTCAATACGAGTTTGTCCATAAACATCGATTCATTCGAACAGCTTACAACCCAAATCGGGCTTTACGATTAAAAAGATGTGGAACAATACCAGCTCTGACGATCATAGTTGATTACGCGCAGTCGTCGAGCTATGAGGAAGAAGAAAACGTTCCATATGGACTTGGAGAACTTCTACAGTAAAAACGATACATTCCTCAAGGTCATCGCTGGAGATTTTGACGCCAAGATTGGACCAAAAATAACGCCTGAAGAGTTTCACAATGAGACCCATGGATTAGAATGGAACGAACAAGGTGAGCGGCTATCTGAGTTTATCGTAGCGACAAAGATAATCCATGGTAATTCGCAATTCCAGAAACCCCACCCTCAATGCTGGACGTGAGAGTCTCCGAATGATGAGTACCACAACGAAAAGAGCACATCATAGTAAATAGAAGGTCTTGCCTAACCGATGTTGCTGTTGTCCCCAAATTTTACACGGGATCGGACCACCGTCTTCTTCGTGCAAAATTCTATTTCTCGGGGAAAGGAGGAAAAGCCGCTAAATTCCAAAACCTAAGTCCCAGAACTACCATAAACTGGAACATATTCAATTCATTAATCGGCTCTTGGGAAGATGCCGTTGTCGATAACATCAACGAAGAATAAGAATCGGCTCATTCAACATCTTCACGCTAGCGCTATGAAAGCTGACAGTTCGAAAGCCACCAAAAGACGTTTGTCTCCAGAAACACTCGAGCTGATACGCCAGCGTGAAATCGCACGAGCTGCAGGCAACCGCGAACTAGCGTCCGAACTTGCAAAATAGTGAAGACGGGCGATAAGAGGAGATCTTAAGGAGAAAAGAGTAGCAGTAGTGGTCCAAGCTGCACAGGCTGGGAAAAACATTTACAAAGCCCACCGAGGCTTCGCCAATTACAAGAAAAAGTTGATTGCACCAGAAAAGCAATGGAGAAAATCATTTACGAAAGCTACTCGGATCCCTTCGACAGCCACGTCCACCTTCTGTCATATGAATTTAAAGAGGATGGATATGTTGTACCCCTGGCTCCACTTCCTAAATTCGACATGCCACTTCGTCGGTAAAAAATCGAACAGCAGCGAGCCGGACAGGATAACATCAGAACACCTGAAGAACCTTCCACCAGTCCTAGCAAACATACTAGCTCGGCTCTTCACACGTTATCTGTCTGAATGCAAGGTCCCACTCAGTGGAAGACCGGCAAGAGCGTGTTATTGTTCACAAAGGGTGACCTCCACGATTTCAACAACTATCGTCCAATCTACTTGCTCTGTGTGGTTTACAAACTTTTCACTCGGGTCATTCTAAACAGGATTGACAGAATACTGGACGAAGGATAGCCATGTGAGCAAGCAGGGTTTCGAAAAGAATTTAGTACGATGGACCACATCCACACGATAACAAGGCTCATTGAAGTATCTCCAGAGTACAAAAGTCACCGCTGTCACACTTTCATCGATTTACAGGCGCCCAATCCTCCGTCTAATCCATCCTTCATATTGTACTCCATTTTCACTGAACACTCAAGGTGCAAGTACGAGGTGGTCTCCGGAATCAGAGAGATAACCAGTTCAATTTGTTTGCCATCGCACCACGGGGTTTTTTATGAACCAGGTTTTGTTTTGTTTTATGCGTAGTCCGATATTTTACCCACGTTGTTGTTCATCGATCTCCGTCTCTGCTTCGCTGGTATTTGGGAAGATGACGATGTCGTCGGCAAAACGAAGGTTTTACAGGAATTTTCCATCAACACCTATTCCTTTCTTCTCCTAATTGGGGGAAATTCACTGAAATGCAAGCGTAAACAGCTTAGGCGTTATTGTGCCGCCTTGTCCAACCCTTTTTCCTATATGTATGGTAAGAGGTCGGTGGAAAAAGTGCATTTTCGTAGTGAAGTTCCGAAAAGACTCAGTTGGTATACATATATAGGACGGAACTACTCTTTAATCAAAGAGCGGCGATAGGATCGTAATCCTTCCGACACTACTACGTGTTTTATCGTAACCGACAAAAGCAGCACTAAAGGCATTTGGTGCTAAAGAAACTACGAAAAGCTTCTATGACACTCGATACGGTTTGGATGTGGGCCGTACAGCAAAATCCCTGTCGAAATCTTGCTTGCTCAACTGCCCACGCCTCAACCAGTGTCCTTGTCGTAGCACTGGCTCTACATACGGTAGGCCACCGCGAGTCATTGCGATAGAAGTTGTCCTCCTCATCCATCGTGAAGACTTTGCACAGTAACGTCACAAACATACTGGACGATAGTTACGAAAATCCCTACGGTCACCCTTCCTGGTGACGATAAATGTTCGCGACTTCCTCCATTGGACTGGAATTTTTTCTTTTGAAGGTAGGATATCATATGGTTTGCGAGAACCACATGTAAATTGTGGTTTCCACCTCTAAGAAAGTTTGCGGTGGTTTTATCTGGTCCTACAGCTGTGCAGCTTTATTCATGTTTTTTGTCGCAAGTCGATCCACAGAACAAAAGTTCCAGTTGGCTTTTCTTCAGTGGTGAAAGTTTAGTGCAAAATTTTTCCATTATTAATTCCATATTATGGTGTAAAACTTTAACATGGTGTAAACTTTAACAATCCAATCTTCGTTCATCGTTCATTCACAACAGAACAATATAATGGCACAAGTCCCGATGGCGCGCATGGCGCAGTGGTCCTGCAAAACGCACACGAGGAATTGATCCCCGAGCCCACGGCCCACCAAGCCTTCCATCCCTCCGAGCCGGCAAATTGGTACCAGACTTGTCTGGGAGAATAGCAGCACTGGATCTATATACAGTAGGCCACCGCGAGTCATTGTAATGGCCAGATATGCATTCAATCACCTCCAAACGATGCTTAATGAAGTTGAATGCATGGCGCATCCTTCAGGGATTGATCAACGTCGAGAGCTTTATCCTTCACTTATTATCCCGACAGCGTTTTTTCTTTTCACAGTGTGGCATTTATTATTAGCTGTGATAACGCATTCCAGTAGAATCGAGTTTTTCTTCTCGAGCAGCTCCCCAGTGGTAATACAGATGCGTTTTGATTTTACTACATGAGGAACTGAAACGGATTCGGTACAATTTCTAAGTCCTTCGACAAGTAGCCCGTACTCTTCGGTAGGATATTCTTTCAACAGTCGCTTTTCGATAAGATTTCGATCAGAATGCTCTCGTCTTACGCAATTGGACTTTCCTTTTTGGTCTATGATATGCTTTTTCTAGCTTACGGCTTAACTGAATCCTCGCGCGAAGAAGGTGGACGGACACAGTACAGAATGAGCGGGCTCCCGATGTGTTAAGTAGGCATCACTTTGTGTTAGGAAAGATACGGTCGTCCTCCGTATATGTCGTACTGTAAGGTGACTACAGTCAAGCAGCGACTTTCCTTCTGGAAAAGTGGGTCTCCATAGAACACAAGAGCCCTGCCATTTTTTGTGTGCCATAAGCGCTACGCAATTACTGCCATAATGAATACTTTATTGCAGTATTGAAATTTGTCTCAAAGAATCCTTCTTAAACTTTAATATATTTTAGCCTTATTTCTGGAATAAATTATTTGACAATGCCCTCCAGCTTAGAGTAATTCGGACGCGGTCGTCGCTTTATCATTCAAAATCTTAGGTTACCACTTTTTTCGCTCAAAGTTAATTTCCTTTAAAAGTTCAAGTGTACACTCAAAAGCATAACGTTTAAATCGAAGTTGCTAAACCGCTTTCATAGCGTTACTCATATCCACGTCACCAATAAAGGTCCGATTAGTCATATCGCAGTAAAGTGTAAAACAGCAAGTACAAGTGCTTATAATATTCTACTCAAACCAACTTTTAAAGAAGAAATTATATAGCCTCGTTAAAAACCCAAACACCTATTTTTGGATAAAAAAGGTGAATTCTAAAAAATATGAACTTAACTGAAATTCCACTATTATGGTTTTGGCAAGAAAACTGCATTTAATATCAATGTAAATCTCACTCACTTCTTTTCTCGGTTTTGGTTCGCGACCCCTATTTTTCTTTTCCTTCAGAGCTTCACCTTGAAGTTCTGCGTATGGTACGCCCTTTCTAACCTGAACGATACGAAAGCCTTAATTTTCGTCTGAATTTTTTTTTGTAAAAGTTTTGTACTCTAAGTGGAGAAACACATAGTTTCCAGAACTTGTGGAATTGACCAGATCTATAGCATTGCGGTTATAGCAAAGAACTGTACAAGAACTGTTTATCCAATACTCATTCACTTGATTATTAGATTTCGTCCTATATAAGAGTTGCTTAAGCAAAACTCATTCACTTGATCAATGGATTTCGGCTTGCGTCCCCGCTTTCTCTTTTCCTTCGGAGCTTCAGCTTGATGTTGTGCGTGCAGCACAGTAGTGCTAGCCTGAACGATCAAAATATTTCATTACCTTCAGTTGCTCATAAGTACGTAAAGCTCCACGCATGGAGAGCTTTAATGTCCATATTAACCTTTTTCTATAACGAGTGCGTTTTAAACAGGGAAATAAATAATTTCCAAGACTTATGGGGTTAACCAAATGTTTATTATTGCGGTTGTAGAAAGAACCATACAAGAACTCCTCACCCAATAGTCATCCACCTGATTAACAGATTTCGGCCTGCGTCCCCGCTTTCTCTTTTCCTTCGGAGCTTCAGCTTGAAGATGTGCGTTCAGCGTAGTAGTGCGAGCCTGAACGATCAAAATATTTCACTACCTTCAGTTGCTCATAAGTAGGTAAAGCTCCACGCATGGAGAGCTTTAATTTCCATATTAACCTTTTTTCTATGACAAGAGCGTTTTAAACAGGGAAATAAATAGCTTCCAAGATTTAAGGAATTAATCAAAATCCTATTATTGTGGTTGTAGCAAAGAACTATATAAGAATTGCTTAAGCAAAACTCATTCACTTGATCAATGGATTTCGGCTTGCGTCCCCGCTTTCTCTTCTCGTTCGGAGCCTCAGCTTGAAGCTGTGTGTGCAGCACAGTAGTGCTAGCCTGAACGATCAAAACATTTTACTGCCTTTAGTTACTCATCAGTAGGTAAAGCTCCACGCAGAGAAAGCTTTAATTTCCATACGTATTTTTTTTTATAAGGACTGTGTTCTAAACAAAAAACATAGCATCCAACACATGTGGAATAACTAATATTATATTACTGTGGTTCTAGCATAGAACTGCACAAGAACCGCTTACTTAAAACTCATCCACTTCATTGACAGATTTCGATTTACGTCCCCACTATTTCTTCTCTGTCAGGGCTTCATGCACTGAACTCAGCACAGTGGTTCCGACATGAACAGTCAAAATATCTATGCAAATTTAATCTTCAGATGATGACTACCTACTTTCCTCATTGTTTTCGAATATGATAGGGTACACTAGTACACTAAGTACCACTGTATTACAATGTTACAGTATACGCAGGGTTTTATAACACATCACATCCCGAATAGCCGCTTTGATCTGAACAGCCAAAAGTTTACGAGAATATTACTTCGATCAAACGCTTGGTATCTAAGACACTTCAAAGCACATGGGAAATTGTTTCGATATAAAAATTACAAAAAAATACCGCGTTAGGCAAAGACCAGGGAGGGTGATGCTCTTTTCTTACGGATTCCGAAGAAGGTGGCGTAGTACACAAGCCATTATTAGACTGGGAGAGATTCTGAGGTTAGAAAACATAAGACGCCGACATATAAGACAAAAAACACTAGTAATGAGAAAATGGTACTTAACCATGCAGGGAAAATATCCACCAACATTATCTTCAATATCCCATAGGCTTTGATTACTGCACGACGAAAGTGATGAGGAGAAGAACGACAAAGTACTCTGCACGAAAAAATCACCTTCTTTATAAAGGTTTCCATGAAGTATTGAAAAACTGTCTAATAGAAATCTAGATTAAGACAGTATAACAACGAATTAAAGATAAAATTCATACCACTCATGCGATAACAAAACTACTAAGAGGAAAAAAATTTGGTGAAATAATGCATGAGAGCAAATCAAATGACTATGTCTGTGAAACAATGGATTTAAGCGGACAGGACCAAGTTTAAAATTTCCTTCTAAACGGCTAAATTTTCTCCAAAGTTCAAACCTTTGCAATCCACAACATGCAACATGTTCAAAAGACACATGCATTAAAGTCTATATTAAACAAAAAATTTACCTGTTTCGAGAAGCCACTTGAGTGGCTTTCACTTCCACGGTTCGATGATGGTGAGCCATATGAAAGAGAACTATTAAGAAATGAACTGGTGACCTATAAAAAACGAATCTAGTAAAATAGGAAACGATGTCCCTCTAAAAAAATCACCACATTCTAATAAAAAGAAAGAAAGCAAATTCAGAGTAGACTGTTGTTAAGCAGGAAAAAAAGTAGTTCGACAACCTCGTGAATTACAATGGCAAAACTTCAGTTTTCCTCCCAACGGTTTACCGCCTCATCGTAGTTGGAACGTGTTACTAGGTGTCGGGTTGCAATGTACAGCGGGAGGATTCGTTTCTCCAATAGGGTCTCCTAAGCTGAGCAGGAGTTCGACGTTCCTAACAGGAAGCCCATCGAAGATTAAACCAATACCAGGATCCGCCACCGTCCTGGTAGTAAACCAGTCACTTGTTGGTAAATCTCCCTCTGACCGACAAGGACTGCGACAGGCAGGCGTGGTGACGACCTGGGCACACTTTGGCCAGGACGGCCTCAGGAATCCAGGGAACCACAATGACTAAGCCAGTAAAAGTCCAAAAAAGGGAAATTTTGTTGAGGTCCGGACAATTAGTGAGGACGGCCCATTCAAGTATCCAACTAAGTAGGCTACCACTAGGTACTGTGCAGAGTGGGTGGCACAGTGCACTGATTAGTCTTATATGTCCGAGGAAAAATGGTAAAGACAGTAAAACAACGCGATGATGGAACGCGGCTACCATAATTGCCAGTCGCTACTCTTCACGAAGCGTGTGTTTCTTCTTAGGAGAAACACAACTAAAAAGTAAGTGTGGTATGTGGTATCAAGAACTATCCCGATAATAAAATAAGAAACTAAAATTTTTGTATCCTGTTTCTAATCGGGCCTTCATTTGTGCATCAAGGTATTAAGTTTCACCTGCTTCATGTGGAGATACGTAAGAGTCAAAACTAATTACCGCCACGGATTGATTACAGTTTCCTTGCGTAGCTTGAAATGGAACCTGGTGCGTTCTTTGAAAATATCGATGGAACAAATATCATTCCCTCTAACAAGTATTCTCCATCTGTCAAAAGATTAAAACAAGGAAAAGAAAACAAAAAAACAAGGATGTATATTCTGTCACAATTATAGTTAAAACAATAGAATGGTTTATGGGAACTTACGAATACCACAATTAATAATTTAGAATATTGAATACCTTGGTAGTCAGAAAATGATAGGATAGACATGATCAATGAACCGAATCGTGCTCAAGTAATGCATCCAACACACTATGCTATGTACAGAATAGCTTTCTATTGCGACACCTAGTATATCTACCAAACGGCCTTTGTGCAATAATATAAAGAACTGCAGAGTTAATGAGCTGACACCAATTCACTACAGCCGATTCATCCCCTCACCAACATATCAAGTGAAAATCAACTCACTAGGAACTCTAAGCACTAATTCTACGCCGAACAAATGCCACTTTAGTTAATAAGAAGTTGGAATGACTGCCTGATGACTTGATGTTATTAGTCTTAGTTAGCAATAAAGGTGGAAATCAATGTGATTAGTACCAATAATTTTCTTCATTTATACCCCAGTGCGTTAAAAGATCCATGCCTCTTGTTTCTTTCCGCACAAACTAGATAATCGAAATCGTCTACAACAGCAACTTTCTAATTTATGCAGATATAACTAGTTCATTAAAATCGGTAAAGTATTAGGAAGAATACTGTGCCCATTAACATATTGAATTCTACCAGACTTAATTGTAGATCGATTATCCACACCGGAAGTGATTACCATTCATTAGGGCATAACCTAGGTAACATTTATCACCACTAATGGAGTTGTAGCTATGGAATACTATCCCTACTTTAACGATTCCTTACATGTGCATGGAATCTGTAAACGCCTGACACAGACGATAATGTCGCCAATGAACCACCGGATAGTGGATACGTCAACAAAATTTGTTTTATATAAAAACATGACAAATGCCGTAGAACTGCTGTAAAGCTCACGATCGATTAACCAAATTAATATCTCAGATGCTGATGCTAATACAGTATTAACGATGAAAGAATGCTCAATTTTATACAGTCCATTTAAAAACTCGACCCTCTAATAGGCGCACATCTTTTGTTGTGGTTAGAAACGCTCTGCAATACACATGAATTCGATCTACCCCTGTATATGCATATATACATGGGTATGTATGTGTATATACACATGCACATGTGTACCTATTGTATACGTATATGTATACTTATATATATGTATATATACATATATGTGCATAAATACTCTGAGTTTCAAGGGTTAAACCTGAACGAGTGGACGGATAACTGAATTATTTTTGCCTATTAAATTCCTAATCATTTTATAGCAGCTTGTAGGCCTCCTATAATAGGAACCACTTAACATTCTAAACCCGGAACTTTGAGGGTTATGGTAAAAATCAAGTCACTGTGTGAAAGACTACCAGGCTGTATTCCTAGGGTTACTACAGTTCTACCCTATCTAACACGTGTTCTCTTCCATCGTCTTCTGGCGAAATAACATATATTTTCAGAAACAAAGTGAAAAATCTGGGAAAGGATGGGTACCGAAACTCACCAAGAAGTTCCACCGTGTATTTTCGATGGTTTTTCGATGCTGTAAAACTCAGTAATCTCAAAGAACAACAAGGAACCCGCCTTTTCAAACCATACTTTGCAAATGATTCGCAGAAAAAACTTTAGTAAAGAGTCATGCGATCCTCAGATACTATGTACGAATTTTTTAATGGGATAAAGTTTCACAATATATCAAACACTCAGTAAACTCCTGTCTATAAATAACCACGTTATGTTCTTAAGGTGTTGTATTTTGGTTTTTCTTGATATTAATGATACTAAAAGCCTTCTGATATCTGGGTCTTCCTGGTGGAATCACTTAAAACTGAACCTTGAAAATGGCTGATTCACATACATGACCAGCTGTAGTAGATAAATTCTACGTTTACAGCGGCGACTTGCCACCTTATAAAAAAACTAGATTGGAAGGACTAAATATATATGGAATTATGGATATAAAAGCGAATTACCATGGTCTCATCAGTGCTTCTTTCGCGTAGCAACTTGTGGCGTCTCACAGTTTCATGCAAATTTGCAATATAAGGCCTTTCCAGCTCCTCTAAAAAGAAACAAAAACAAACTGCCAACAATCATTTCAACAAACTCAGCAAAGAACCTCTTTCTTGCACAGATAACGTATTCATCTTTGCGCAGAAAGGACCCATAAACATGTTTGGCACTAGACTGGCGCCTGAAATCAGAATGTATCTTAAGAATATTTCCATACTTCCGAAATGTGTAATGAATATTAGGCAAACTATTGAACTCTTCTCATTTCGTGCATTTCTATGCACTCAATGATGAGATGGACGAATATTTTAAGCACTTCCTCGACAACATAAACAATCTGATAAATAACTTCACCAAATAAGTGAAAAGTGATATTTCGTGTGCGCACACAGTCCTAAAGGGTCATCACTACGGTAACACACTTACCGGAACGGCATTTGAAGATAAAAAGACTTACGTGTGAAATTCAAAGGCGATGGACGTCTCCTACTAGATCTTTTGCCCTTTCTACGTGGGTTCTGTAAAATTATGCATGTTGATATAAAGGCTTCAGATGATTTCCCTGGATGCATCAACATATGAAAAAAAAATAAAAGAATCCTATACGAACTTTCGCCGAGCTACTCTGACAACATTTCCTGATATGATTCTGAATCGTGTAGTTATAATTGTATTCAAAAAATGTGATCAATGTTCTGGACACCAGCCCTTGTTGATGAAAAAAGACTTGATTTCATCTTATCATAAATTGCATTAAAGCGCTGAAGAATGTTGTTCTATGTAGACAAAAGAAAGTGTGTGAGCTACCAGAAGATTAAGCCTATTGATGTGCAAGGTCCTACACTTACTTTAATCACTATTGCACCAGATTTACCGTTGGCAACCTCATTAACGGTGTCAGCTATTCGTTGCTCACAGCCAGGAGATGGCGGCGGCAGATATGTTTCTGTAAAGTCCTCAAAGCAAGCACGTTCTTCCTCTTAAAATAAATAGTGTTTGCGAACATTATAACCTTGTACGTAGTGAACTGATAATTTGTGATGAATGAAACCTATAAGTCGGTGATAAACATGGCAAAATACCACAGGTCCAGTTCCGTCCGAGCTAAGTTTTAAAAAACTCAGGCTGAAGCTACGTCCCAAAAGTGGTTCACCTATGGACGAAATTACGTTTCAGCTCCAAAGACGATGATAAAGATGGTTAAACAAAGGTCCGCTTAGAGGTTACCATGCAGTATTTGTACCAAAGGAAGTAAATGAGAACAAATCATTAGAATTCAAAAAATGTGAGTACAAAGCCAGCGCTAATCCCTGATGCCAATAATTATGGCTTACCATGTGTCACGATTATTGATCTCATAAGAAGGGTGGTAACTGTAACAAATATGGAAACTGAACTATTCTATTAGTCGTGAATGTTCGCGTTACTTTATCTACAGCAAGTATAAATGTCACTAAATCCCACTTACCGGTGGAGCAGCTCATCATCGTTGTGTTGTTGTGTTGATCTCCGCTTGCCGTGTATGCCGATTGCTGAACGCTCATGACGCTGAGAATTGATCAAAATTAACCACGTACCACCAGCACCCTGCTCAACAAAACGTCGTCTTCTCAACATAACGATACAAACTGTACATTTCCAGATCTCTGCGTACAAATCAAAGGAGGAGTCGGACAATGAAAGAGTACTTTAGGGCTGAAGACAATGAGAACTCGTACGTGGAAAGACCGCAACATATTAAAACATAAACACACACGCTTCAAATAAAAACTAGAAAGAAGAAAATACTGGCTTTCTAACACGAATTTTGTCCCTATTGTCCATTTATACTAGGTTGTACTCAGCCAAGCGTTCTTAACAAAACAAAGACAGCGGTAATGAAGCATTCTCAAGCAAAACATCGTGCCTGCTTGCTAAGAAATCCACGAAAGTACGTAATCTCTTGGGCGCACCCACTCATGCAACGCGAAATCACAGAAAAAACTTCCTACAGGAATCGAAGTTAACATATTCCTTATCACACTTATTACTCAGTCGTTGGTGAGAATATCCCGTTTTACGAATGGATATACAATAGCAGTTCCACGAAATGTTCCAAGAATCTCGCCGTTGTTATCAGTTCACCGTTATTCATGTGATGTTACATGAATTTCTTAACTCTAGCCAGAATACTCAATGATATCTGAGTACTTCGGCCGTCTGACCAAAACACAAATGATCAGAGCATCAAATATACCGCTGTTGAACTTACAAGGAAACCAATAAAGATTCTTTTGGCGGCTAGAGGTTTTATCCCAACAGAACTGAACGCATTGAGCGCCATGATATGAGAGACCTAACACTGTTTAGCAAAGCAGAGCCTGGGAGAGCAGGACCATTCCATTCACTCATGGAGTTCACGTTTCCTTAGCGCTTGTGTTTTTCAACTCCGAACTCCGATTGTGGTAGCGTAAAAATACGTTTTCTGAACCATGGTCCTTTCAGTAACGATTACATTGAAACAATGTCTATATAAAGGTGTCGTCAAAAACGACTTTTCCATCATAATAAGTTATTGACTTCAATCTATCTGTTCTTACCTAACTTTACTTACTATAGACACTTCTTTTCCACGTCCAATATGCCAGTTTTCTGTCAAGAAATAGTGCAGCATCGTTCCCGGGAAGACCACATACGAGCACATTTAAGCACCTGCTATCGTTCCTCATTGGCAGATAGGAACGGCCTGTCACGTTTTACTGCTGGCATGCAAGGTTTCCAGGTTCTGGAAAATCGATAGAACCATGTTGTAGCACCAAGATGGAGACCTCGGTGACATCGGCACCTGTCGCATAATTTAGCTGCTAACTGTGTTTCTATGAGCCTCTTGCGTACTGCAGTTTTTTCATTAGGATTGCTAAAAAAGTTCTCCAAAGAAAACTTACTAAGACAAATTGTAATTCAAAAGGCGTCTAGTTGGGTGAGTTGATAGAGGGGTACCACGATAGAGAAATTTATCAAAATATCGCAATGGTGCTTAGTCTTTATCTTCCTCACTTCAAAGGCCGTTCACATACAATGCCCGAAATGCATTGCGTACAATGCACGGTTAGTGGGGAGATGGACCACGTGCACTGCACACAATGCATTTTCTTTTCAGCCGTTCATTTTACTTCTCCAATTCTTTTTCACCGCAGTTCCTGCCTTTATTTCGTGTCTCATAGAACGCTGAAGCGATGTTAAGCGTCACGCGTTTAAATCTATTCTCTACAGATAATAATTTATAGAAAGCATTTTTTTAGGCTAGTTCATTTTATAGAGAACGATTATCGCTGTTGGAGGAAGTACCAAATACAGAGACTTGTGAAGAATCTCCAGAAGCGTGTCAGCTTTGTGCTTAAGTACTGAAATTCTACACTTAGGTTGGTTTTTCCTAAGGTAGGGTGACAAATCATAGAGGTGTGGCTCCGTATTTACAGGGCGTGCTTCGTAAATGTACTTCATTTTTTTTGTACTTCGATACACGAACAAAGGTACTTCAGCACAGTTTACCTCTAGGAATAGTTATCGGGTTTTATTACCACAACCGTACAGTCATGTTTCTAACGTTAAGCTCAGGAAAAATTATTCTGCAACCTACGATTTACAATTTATGCAACGTTGCAATCTCATCGTTTGTATATACTAACAGCTTCCCAGATTCCCAGATTGTGATCTTCATCGTCTGCAGGTGACGGATAGGGGCTTAATCGTGGACCAAAAGCGGCCTTTGCTTCCCTGAAACGCAGGTGGATCCAGGAGATGGACTTCCTCTTTCTGGTACGCCGACTTGGCACATACTTTCTGCATTTACTAGACGTATTCATGCACGCGTGTGTGGGTAAGTTCTAATTTATGCGGATTGTATTCTATGAGTCAATTCGGTCAAAAGCCTGCAATCAAGTGACTGGGAAGTATATGGGAGGCGGTTAGGAGTCGCCTCCAACAAGTAAGCCCCATGTCCACTCTAGGAGAGCCTGGCAAGCTACCTGTGAGTATATTATACGGAGGCTATCAAAAATGCTAAACACAGTAAAAAAACGGACCTCATTCCCCTGACCCCCAAAGAGCCCCAGTTTCGCAGCATTGGCTAAGACAAGTACGGAGAGGCTGCTAAAATCTTAGGGCCATTGGAAGCTGCCTGGATCGCGAAGAACTAAGGTGACGATATGTACCTACAATGCATGTACACCTGCATCCCAGTCTTCGATAGAAGACTTGCTCATGCAAGCAAGAAGGATAAAGTACGACGTCATCGGCCTGGCCGAGACGAGAAGACGCCAGCCTTTCAACGCCGTCTATAACACCGGAGAAGAACTCGTTTCGGCGCGATCAAACGCTTTTTCATAGCGAAAAAGTGTAACAATTAGAGAAGATGGTACTTGCCACAAAATACAATGACCCACCACAGATCTCCCTCATATGGGGGAGGGGTCTTCAGCCTGTTAGTAGCGAGGCTACGTGGCGCGTCGTCAGGTCACGGATAGGGGGTTAATCGCGGACCAAAAGCGACCTTTACTTCCTTGAGACGCAGGTGGATCCAGGGAATAAACTCTCCGCTTCTGCCACCGATTTGGCAGCGTTGGGTAGGACGAGTACGAAGAGGCTGCTAAAATCTCAGAACCAACGAAAGCTGCCTGGATTACAAAAAGCTGTGGTGACGATCTGTACCTACAATGCACGTACACTTGCATCCGAGTCTTCGATAGAAGCATGCAGGAAGGATAAGGTAGGGCGCCATCGGCCTGGCCGAGACGAGACGGTGCCACCCATTCAACGGCGTCTATAACACCGAAGAAGAACTGTTCCACGGAACATGCGACAGTAGAGTAGTCGGCAGCGTCGGCGTTCTCGTCAAAACGAGTTTGCCCATGAACATCGTTTCATTCGAACAACTTACAACCCGCGTTGGACGTTTATGACTAGAAAAATGTCGATCAATTCCGGCTTTGAAAATCTTCAACGTTTACACGCCGACATCAAACTATGACGAAGAAGAAGTCGAACTGTTCTGTATGGACTTGGAGAAGCTCTACAGAGAATACCACGCATGAACTGTTCTGTATGGACTTGGAGAAGCTCTACAGAGAATACCACGCATTCTTCAAGATCATCATTGAAGATTCTGCGCCAAGATTGAACCAAGAAGAACGTCTGAGGAACAGCACAAACTACGAATTAGAGTGGAACGAACAGGGTGAGAGCTGTTTGAATTTGTCATGACCACCAGGACCATCCATAGTAACTCGCAATTCCAGAAGCCGCAACCTCAACGCTGGATGTGGGAGTCTTCCACTGGAGAGCACCATAGTGTAATAAACCATATCATAGTAAACCAAATGTTTTGCCTAACCGATGTCGCTGTTGTTACAAAATCCTCTACGAAATCAGACCATCGCCTTCTTTGTACAAGATTCTATTTCTTGCGAAATGGAGAAAAAGCCGCCAAATTCAAAAACCGAATTCCCTGAATCACCATAAACTGGGACTTATGCAATTCATTAATCGGCTGTTGGGAAGATGCCGTTGTCGTTAACATCGGCGAAGAATACGATCGGCTTATTCAACATCTTCAGTTTAGCGCTATGAAAGCTAAGAGTTCGAAAGTCACCAAGAGACGTCTGTCTCCAGAAACACTCGAGCTGATACACCAGCGTGGAATCGCATGAGCTGCAGGCAACCGCGAACTAAAGTCAGGGCTTGCAAAACAATGCAGACAGGCGATAAAAGGAGATCTTAAAGAGAAAAAGCAGCAGTAATAGTCGAAGCTGCAGAGACTGGTAAAGCATTCGCAAAGCCCACCGATGCTTCTCCAATTACATGACCGAGATGATTGCACTCCGACACCCAGACGGAACAGTTACAGCGTCCAGATAGGCAATGGCGAAAATCATGCACGAAAGCTACTCGGATCTCTTCGATGGCCACGTCCACATTCTGTCATATGAAATAAAGGAGGATGGATATGTTGTACCCCCAATTCTCCCCTCCTAAATTCGACATGCCACTTCGTCGGTAAAAACTCGAACAACAGCGAACCGGACAGGATAACATCAGAACACCTGAAGAACCTTCCGCCAGTCCTAGCAAACATACTAGCTCGGCTCTTCACACGTTATCTGTCTGAATGCAAGGTCCCCACTCAGTGGAAGACCGGCAAGAGTGCGTTATTGTTCAAGAAGGGTGACCTTCACGATTTCGGCAACTACAACCCAATGTGCTTGCTTTTTGTCGTCTGCAAATTTTTCTCTCACGTCATCGCAAACAGGATTGACAGAACACTGGGCGAAGGATAGCCATTTGAGCAAGCAGGGTTTCGAAAAGGATTCAGTACGATGGACCACATCCACAGGATAACAAGACTCATTGAACTATCGCGAGTGTACGAGAGACCGCTCTGTCTCACTTTCATCGATTTGAAGAAGGCATTTGGCTCAAGCGAGATAGAAGCAGTCATGGAAGCCTTTGATAGTCAAGGACTCCATACTCAGTACATAAAGATTCTTCGTGTCCGTACAAAAATTTTACAACCAAGATATCACCATTATGCAACGATATTAACATTGAGGTCAAAAGAGGAGTTAGGCAAGGCGATACCATCTCGCCAAAATTATTTACCGCCAACGTCATGCTCACATTGGAACGGGATAATATGGTAGTGAAAGTCAATGGTCGGCAATTACACCATCTTCGTTTTGCTGATGACACATCCCTTATATCACCAAACATTAGCGAAGCGAAACGTATGCTAACCAACTCTGATAAAGCCTGTGGAAAAATTGGTTTTTGACTAAATCTCACAAAAACTATGTTTATGCGCTTCGTGCTTGGCCCATTCACGCTCAACGGAATTAATATCTCCGAATGCTCCAATTATGTCTACCTAGGTTGGGAAATCAATATGATGGGCTAATTAGCTCCAGAGCTGAGCAGAAGGAAACGAGCGGCTTGGAGAGCTTTCAAGAGCATCGAGGATGTAGTGAAGAGAACAAAGAACATCCGACTCCGTGCCTACCTTTTCGACTCAACGGTACTTTCTGCCCTAACGTATGCGTCAGAAACATGGTCGCTGCGTAAGCAGAATGGAAGATCATTAGGCGTTTTTGAACGCTCAGTGCAAAGGACGATGCTAGAAGTAGGCGATTTCACATAAGTAAAGGATGGGATCCGAAGCCCCGATCTGCGTCAACGTTCAAAAATCAAAGATACCGTTCTGTACGCCAAACAGTCGAAGATAAGGTGGGCCGGACACGTAATGCGTATGAACGACAACCGATGGAAAAGAGTCATTAGAGACTGGTTTTCTCTGGATCTCAAACGCACTGCAGGAACACCACGGACTCTATGGTGAGAGTTCTTCACGGAAAACCTAGAAGAAAGATATGATGCTCAACGAGTTCCTAGAGCGAGGATAACCCACTGAGCTACTCTTGCACGCGACAGAAATAAATGGAAGATTTACTGGCGCTCGCTCGAATCACTGGGCGATCAAAGGGACTACAGGTGATAGAGGTGATTCTTTGTCGCGAAATCGCAGTTTGACGCCTAGGAACATTCGTCTAGCCACGGCTGAGCGGTTAAACCTGGAAATCCCAAGGATTTAGGGGTAAACTGTTGTATAAATAAAAGGTAAAGCTCTCAGCGTTGATCTATTTTGAGAGATGCGCTATGTATTCGTCTTCCTTAAACATCGTTGGAGTGATTGGGTGCATATCTGACTTTCAGAGTGACTTGCGGTGGCCTACCGACTTATCGAACCACTGCTGATATGCTCCTAAACAAGTCGGGTACCAATTTGCCGATCGCGGGAAGATAGAAGGCTTGGTGAGCCTGGGACGTGAGGATCAGTCCCATTTGTACTGTAGGGCGCCTCTAACAACTGAGCTACACGAGCTGTGTATAGTGAGATAAACGAATATCATTTGTATGCCCGCTGTTGTTTTGTCTTTTACTATAGTCTCGCTATCTTTTTACGAATTGCAGACACTTCGTCTGCGACGAGCAAAATACCGTGATCGTTATTCTCCCTGTATTCTGTTTAGAAGCCAAATAAAAAATGCACTACTGTTTGAAGTGTGTAAGCAAGCCGCGTGAGTGTGTGGCATGTTTGTGTGGGACCGATTCATAAACTAATCTTTACTTACATAAATGTCATACCAGTAATTATACACGTTTGCTACACAAAAAATCGTCCGGTGTGAAACTTTTTGCAGCTGTTCGATCAACGATTGCACCTTCACTTCCCAAGTTGCTAACGTAGTGCATTGGATTGTAATCATACGAATTGGCCAGTAGAAGATTGATTATTGACTGATCGTATCTGGAAATGAAGCTGATGAAGTAGCAGACTAGCAGTTTTTTGGATTGCTGCACATGAAATACGTCATTTTCGCGGTCACGTAATCTCAGATAATGTAAGTCTACGCTTTCTGATTGAGCGCGTATAGTGCAATGGTTAGCGGTGCTATGCAGTCTCACTAAGCCTTCCATCTTCACGGGGTCGGCGAATTACACCAGGCCTATCTGGGAGGAGATAACCTCTAACGATGCTTAAGGAAATCGAATGCATGGCGCATCCCTCAAATGTAGATCAACGCCGAGAGCTTTACCCTACTTGACACTTCCCTATTCGTTAATCTTTTCTTAATTAGAAGTTTTCATATTGACAATGCATAGCACTGTGACTACCTATCTGTCACTATTAAGTTAAATATCGCTATTATCTTTAATCACTGACAGTCCAGAGAGTGAACTACTACACAAGCGATTATAGGTGTGGATAACCACATAATCAGCTGTACTGTGTGGAGCTTTGAAGTAATGCCTTAAAGCTAAGTCATACAGTCTACGGTTGTATGAGTCTGACAAATGCCAAGTTCACTTTCTAAGGCTGTGAGAAAATAATTTTGGATTGAGTGAGTCTAGATTAAATAACGCATAGTACCTGTGGCAGTTAGCGTATTGAAGAAAACGGTCATCTCCAAAGTAACAGTACAACACTGCTCCAGGTGGTGCCATGCAGTTCTTTTCGAGAGCACATATAACGTACCTAAACGTTATTCGTTTCATGTTGGGAGAGTAAGCTGCGATGTTTCGTTTCACTCTGTTTTAGGGGCCGGATATATTCTTACATTATTCTGAGTGAATTTGGGAAAGGCTTCTTGAAAGCGACTCCGAATGCTTCTCGGGTATTTCACTGCAACTTGGTTAAAAGTTTTGACTAAACCAGTCTTACATACAAACGCAGAACAACTGGCATAGCAAACACAAAAAAAATCCAATCCAGAATCATTTTATCTTTCAGAGCAAGCATGTATGAAGTTTGGTAGCCATCCATCCACATTCAACTCTACATCCACCATTTCGCAGGAGTACCATTTGGTATCGTAGCAAATCGGCTTTGGATCCGTAACTGGGAAGATCACATGGAAGTGGTATTGCAAGACGATTTTATGGCAACATTTCCGTGTCGTCTTGTTTTAGATTAAGTTAAAATTTCGTTTTTCTTGAATGTTATAGGCTAAAAGTCACCATTTTAAGATGCCTATTGCATCCGATGTTCGTACAACGAAAGCGAAACCGGCATCGTAATTTACGCATGTTTTCGATCGTAGACGCTCGGACAGAGTGGGTATGAAGTCATAAACGCCTGAACAAAAAATAAAGTAGGAAGAAGTAATAGAAGCAAGCTATGCTCATACTGGAGATAAAAACCCGCAACGCTATCATGTTCAAAGAGGCTTTAAAATAAAATAGAGGATAAAGCTCTCAGCGTTGATCAGTCTCTGAGGGATGCGCCATGTATTCGACTTCATTAAGTATCGTTGGAGGTGATTGAATGCATATATGGCCTTCACAATGACTCGCGGTACCCTATTGATGTGTCGAGCCAGTGCTGCAGTCCTCCCAGACAAGTCTGGTACCAATTTGCGGTCCCCGAAGCATGGAAGGCTTGAAAAGCCTTGTGCACGTGGATAGATCCCATCTGTTTCTCAGGAACCTCCGACAACTGCAATAGATGCGCCCTTTATATTTATTTATTTATATGTGGCAACCGACAACCGATGGACAAGATCCGCCAGTGACTGGATTCCTCGCGATGTCAAATGTACTGCAGGAATACCACCGACCCGATGGTTAGACTTCTTCACAAAGAGCCTTGAAGAAAGATATGATGCTCAACGAGTCCCTAGAGCGAGCAGAACCCACTGGGCTACTCTTGCACGCCCCAGGGAAAAATAGATTTACTTGCTCCGGATCGAGTTACTCGACCATGAACTAGACTGCAGGTTACAGGTGATATGTAGCAACGTGCTATGTGGTAGGAGATAAGGCGAATAGCGCAGTGGCAAAGATGTAGGAATATGGTGCTAGTCCGATTCGGCCCTTGGCCAATCAAGCCTGTCATCCTTCCAGGCTCAGAAATTAGTGCCGGACTTTATTATTGCGTTTATTCGGTGCATGACTAGAATCAAACTTAAACTATTTATGCAATTTATTTTATTTTACACGAATTGCCTTTACATCTAATGTGTTGATTCCAACACTTCTCAAAGTCGATTCATTTCCTCCCATCCATCATCCACTAAGACCTTCCAACTTTTACGTGTGGCCCTAACTGCTGCTTGAGAATTTCATTTAATCTTGAATGCCGTCAAATCCTGGTCGAGTCGATTCTTCGTGGAGTCCTGGGATCACCGGGCTAGAGCGTTACTACTTGGATTGCAGGGAGTGACTTTTTTCTGGGAGAAATGCAGTGCCAATTTCTCACCGCGGAGGGACGATAGGCTTGGTGAGCCGTGGCCCAGCTCGAACATGCACTGTACTCGTGGTTATATTTGAAAAGTGGAAATCTTACCAGGATGAGTGGTGGCGAACACACTGTGACCTGACGATGACTGCAGAAGATATCCAGGCTGAAAGAAATGGCAGTGGTGACCGATAGTGGAAGAGAACTTCGGTGATGGATGATCAATTCAGTAATGGTAATGCTACACGAATATCTACTTTTTTCATTGATAAACTTGAAAAACATGGATATATCAAAATAAGCATGCCTTTTTGCAATCCACTATAGGGCTGCCGAAGATATCCAACATCCTGAAAATCTTCGCACGTGTACAAATCGTTGGATGAGATTGGTGCTTATGAAAAACTCTGTATTTTAAATACTGTCGGTTGTTGAATAGAAGCGAAATACCGCAATTATCAATCAATAACATTTGCTGAAAATTTAACTTTGTACAGAAAAATTTGAGAAACTGGAATTTAGTTTATTATGTCCTGTTCGACTAGTCAGTTTATTAAATGGAGGAATTGCTACCACCATGGTGCATTACTAGTCGTGAAGCATGTAATCCTCTTATTCACAAAACTAGATATCGTAAGAACTTTGGGAACTAAGTTGGCTATCTCTCTTTCCTAGAAAGAAAAGGAACAACTGAAATTCAACGTGTCCATAAGGATAATTGCCATTGCGACACACACGTGGAATTGATCCGCGCGCCCCTGGCCCACCAAGTCTTCCATCCCTCCGGGGTCGGCAAATTGGTACCAGACTTGTCTGGGAGGATAGCAGCACTGGCTCGATACACCGGTAGGCCACCGTCAATCATTGTAAAAGCCAGATATGCATTCAATCACCTCCAACGATACTTAATGATGTTGAATGTACGGCGCATCCCTTGGAAACTGATCAACGCTGAGGTCTTTATCCTTTATCCTTTATAAGGATAATAAGGGCGGCTGTCCTTCGAGTAAAATCAAACTCGTACACTAACGCATCCTTCGAGTAATATCAAACTCGTGCATTAAGACAATCCCCGTGGGCGACGGTTGCCAACCATGAAATCAGGTGGTTAAAGTGCCAGGGTCCTACGCGATATGTGAGGATAGACAATGTACATTTGGAGTTGGTAGATTCTCTGCTGAAGGCCACAGAAAGTTGTAGCTATTTATTTGCGCGAAGTTTATTTGAATTAAAACACACACCAGGGATTTTTTTCCTGACTTTTTGATATCTTAACTTCCTCTCATACAACAAATCTCTATCTAACCTGCCGACATGTGACTTGTTACAAGGTGGCTAATAAGGTGTTCAAGGCAGACCAACGTAATCACACACCGGCCATGGAACATTTACGCATTCAAGAAAACGCACCTAAGTTTTCTTTTGTCAAGTTTATTTGTGTCATCCGTATTTATTTGGATATATTTGTAATATATATATATTTCGAAACCGACTTTCCTTGAACCTCGGCATCACTAATCAATATGTATTCTTTCTTTGATGAGCTTACACAAGGCCGATAATGATTTTTATTTTCGGCTAACGTTTCGACGTCTTCGCCTTCCTCAGAGCCGATGATCCGAGTCGATGGTCTCGCTTGCTATTCGTCTCGACGTGGCAGCTTCGCCTTCGTGCCGAGTCAGGTCTTCTTCAGTGAGCCATCTCCCCGAATGAGGCATCCTTACTCAGTGATGCCCTTTTATACACGATGCTGATGGTCGATATATAATGACAATGTCCGGCGGTAACAACTTGTTTTTTTTCAGGACATACATCATTGCGCACATCGTGCAGAAGTCGGTGTTGTTATCAGCTAGCACAAAGCGTAGTAATATTTCGAAACCGACTTTTCTTGAACCTCTGTATCACTAATCAATATGTATATAATAATTAAACATCATTATCAACCTCGTGTAAGCTCACCAACGAAAGAATATATATATATATATATATATATATATTCATGCCATGAGGTAATTTCTCATCTATTGTGGACTGTAGCTTTCACATTGCTTATGGCAATACGGTCGAGTAACGAGCAAATACAACCATTTGAGATCCTTTCTAGGAAATTGTTGATTCTTATGCATACCTTTCTCGGAGCTGTAGCTATCTAAGAACAGAAAAATGAGGAGCATCATACCAAAAATGTGTTACGTTCATAGTGCCCTTTGGTCTTGTGACACCTAATAGATATAGGGCTAAAACACATTAGGCGACGATAGGAAACTTTAGCGATGCCTAACACGATTACGTAACAAAAGAGACCAGAACAATTTTTCTGAACACATTGGAGAAGATGGGGCTAATACGTACCGTTAAACTCGCCGCTCTATCTAATTCATGAAGCACGTCTAATGAAATTAAAGATTTCTCAGAACTTAGATCTATTTCATTGCGGAAAGGTTATTTAGAAGTATCAAAAATAGTTACCTGCTAGGTGCTGAAGGCATACAAGACGCCGTTATTTATGACTCTTTGGAAACGATTCAGTACGGTTTCTTCGAGCATTTATTCTCAGAAAGGATATCAGTTATTCATTAAATTCTTCTTTTTCTCTGTATATACTCCTTGAAATTTTATCAATAAGCCATAATTTCTAGTTTTTTTTCCTTTTTCACTTCAGAAACTGACTTGCCTTTGCATGGTTTGTCAATATTTCCCTCGATTACTAAGCTAACACGACATTTAAAAAGTTAAAGAACTATTATGATTTTAAGTTCAACTTCACCTTAACTGGGTTCAATGCTAATTTCTGCTTTCCATATTATTCCTGTTGACTTGTTATTGCTGATAGCATATTGATAGGCTGAGCAAAAGTCAAGCAAGTGTTTCAGTTTGTGGGGCGGATAACACGTGAGTCTCCAGATTGGATAACTGTGGGCTCGAAGCGCACCGGTTCCCAGTTTTGCGCATATCTCAGCACTCTTTTGGTTCTATTTCACATAATATGCCGCCATGAAAGAAAGAATGGGTAGTAAATAAAGGCTGAAACATTGCAATATGAGGTTGTTAAAAACTCTTATTCGACCAACGTTTCAGCGTCTTCGCTTTCTTTAGAGTCGGATTGATCCGAGTAGATTGTTCACAGTCGTTCGTCATCGTCAGCAGGATCTTCGTAGTCGCATCGAGTTGAGTCTTCTCGAGAGGGAAATCGCTCGAGTCTTGAACCCCTTTCTGCAGTGCCCTTTTACTCATGGCGGTTGTTGATCTATTGCTATTTCATATTTAGAATATTATTACGCTCTGTGTCAGCTAATAATGATGTCGACTGTTACTGGGATGCATTTCCGCCGATAAAGCGGGTCATATCGGATCAACAACTACGTTTGATAAAGGGCACTTTCGAAACAGATTGTTTATTGACGCCGTGCTCCAACGGATTCGACTCGATGCGATCACGAAACCTCACATCGGAAGAAGGCACAACTGTAGGCAATCAACTCAAATTATTGAGGCTTTGAATAAGACAAAAAAGCCAAGGCGTTGGCTGAAAAATCTTGTGTAATCTCAAGATGCTTTCAGATTTTGGATATACTCTTACCGGTACTTGTTCTTTCGACATTTTATTTCTTCGTAAACCACGTCAAGTCGATCTTTCTTCCATCGTATTGAAGTATCCATGTACCATATTGCTCCGAATTCTTTCGCCGTCATCTGAATATAATGAAGAAGAGAATGGATTGAAGAAAAAATTACAATAGACCAGTTTCGTCTCTTTCACACATTGTCGTTTATTGTCGCAAAGTGCTTATCGATAAACCTTCACGCCAATCCTTGATTGTTCATGCCTGTTACCTTCCATTAGTCTCACGAAGATAAAAAGAGTATCACCGGCAACAAAGTATGCTCGGAGATGTCATTTAAAATGTGTCCCTATAGGATTTTTTTCATGCATTTTCTTTTCCTCTTGAGGTGATTAATGTTGTAGAAGTCTTTA